ACTCAAAAAAGAAAAAAAAAGCAACTCAGGATTTCTTCAGCTGTTTTTATAATGTCAGTAATATTAAAAGTACACTTTCAGGCAAGAGCAAAAACATCACTCTCCTGCACAAAAGGCAGGATGGTGTAGATTCAGCATCTCTGTGTCAGCAGTTCTCCCTGTGTTTGCCACTTGCAGGGTGAGCCTCTCAAGGCTTCCCAGCTGCCTTGGGACGTGGGTGTGTGTCTGTGCCTCCCAGCTCAGCCCAGGGGCTTTCCATGCTGGGCTGTGTTCAGAGTGGCTGCACCACTCCAGGGGTTTTTCTTGCTCCCGTGAACAATTGATATGATAGCAAAGGGAAGAAAGAAGGAGGATTTAAAAAATCCTCTCAGCCCTGGTTGAGAGACTCATCATAAAACTATCAGACAGAATTCAGCAGAGTGGAAATCCCTGCTCTGATAAGCCCCAGCCCTGGAAGGCGAGGGATGTAGAGTTCAGGCTGGAGGTGCTGTGGCTGGATGCCTTGTGCTCCCTCCCTTGGTTCTCACCCTGTAACCTGCAGCACTGCACATCCTTATTGTTAAAAAAGAGCATCTAACCAAATCGAGCTGTAAGTGATTCACACCTAACTACAGCAGCTCCCTTTTGCTGGAAAAAGACTGCAATTCAGTGAAACCTTAACTCCAAAAATCCCTGGTGCATGATCCTGTGCACAGGAGTGTGTGTTTTGGGTGCAAGGAACTGTAAATGCACTGTATAAGAGCACATTTATTAACACAGTTTATTGGCACACTTATTGGCAAAGCATACATAAAATACAGTTGTATTATATAACACACTGACTCACTGTGTCTTTACATGATGAGTTGAACATATTAATATGTAAATGAAAAAAAAATTAGTTTCTTTTATAAAGTTTCACATAAATACACCGGAATAATAAAAAAAAAGTAAAACAAAAAATGAGGGCTTTACAAAAATATTATACAAGAAATATACTATGAAAAGAAATAACAACAAAGCCAACTTAGATACAATAATAAAAACACAAAAGTTTTAGATTTATTAAGCTGCCCACAAAGTTAATGGATTACATGGCTTTAAAATATCTGATTCAACAGCAATTTTACAAAGCATAAACTCTCATAGGACTGGGTGTCTTTTTCCACATAAAAATATTTCTCATGTCTTTGATGAAAAAAAGACATTTCTTGTTTCAGTATTTTTATGAAATGATTAGAATAGAGTATCTACTGGCATCAGCTAAATGTAAAATAAAAATGCTGGATCCTTTAAATGATTAACTGATGAAAGAAAAGTTAAAGAAAGAACAAAAGTTACTTTAAATTACTTTTCCTTAAAAGCTGATCTTTTTCTGAAACAAGAAATTTCAGGTGCAAGTTGAAAAGCAGAAAATATATTACAATTGTAAAAAGTTTTACATAGTTACGTTAATGAGATCCTGAGCACTGATGACTTGTTAAAATATGGCCATTGTTTGATGAGGAAAAAAACAATCCCTTCCAATAAAATGCACTGTCAGAAATTTGCCATGAGATGCTGTTTAATTTTCAGTTATTTTAATCGAGGTCAGTGCCAGTATCATGTTGTATGAGAATGCTTCCAAGAAATGTATATGGAAGCTTACACAAGAGTTTTCCCTAACCAAAAAAATTGGGATAGCTTTAGTTTAGAAATAGATACTGTATCATTTGAAAGGTGTTTCTTTTAAATTTTATTTTGAAGAATGCTGTGAAACAGTAATTAATAACCCACTGCCATACATTGCAGGGGGAACTGCTGCAGAATAACCTATTGGGAAGCTTGTGGTGTGGGGTTTTCAGATTTAGCCTCCTGGTTAGCAGGAGGTTTGCTGTTCCACGGGCTGTTATTTCCCAGTGCAGGTGAATTGTTGAAATCTTCTTCATCATCCATGCCATTTGCTGCATCATACTGTGTATTCTCTAATCTAGTGATAAGCCTTTCGTCTTCATCCCCAAATTCGCCTCCCATCAGAGTTGGTTCTCCTACCACCATCACATCCTGTGAACAGCACCCAATATTTGTTATATGGAAACCTTGAGAGAGAAAAAATCAACTTAAAAAAATTATGTTAGAGAATTTGCATCTCTTAACTTTGCGATATTTGAACAACAGAGTTAAAAGTTCCTGCATAGTAGGAACCAGGAGAAAGGCTTACACTTTATTTCTAATTTACATGAAAGACTATAACACATCTCTCTAGCCGCATGCTCATGGCTCTGGATCTCAGAAACCCCAGAACTGAAAAGCAGGTAGACTGAAAAATGTGCCTGATTATAAGCAGTCTATGAAACTGCCTTTAAACTCCTCCTTGAAATCTTTAGCCTTTATCCAGTAATTCTTTCCTGAGCCATTTCCTTTGGAAAGGCACCAGGGTGCATCTCAGTTGGAACTTGGCGATATGCGTATTTTAGAAGTAGTTTAAAAGAAATCACATTTCTTATCCTCAGACTTCTCAAATGTGGAGCACAGCACTCTAATAAAGATGGTAACTCTCTTATCCATAGCCAGCCAAGCCCTTTTACGCATCCAATATACTTGACATTCTGCTACTTAATTATGGTAATTAATTTAGGTAAAGTTTTCGATAAAAACAATGTTCACACTGATTTGACAATTTGCATAGCTAATTAAGTCATTAGCAAAAACCTGCTGATTGCCAACAAGCCCTGAATTTACCATCTGTTATTTCATGGTGCCTGTCACCTAACTCCATGTAGGCAACCCTGCCACCAATCTGTGCAGTAAGAGGACCAATCTGTCCAGCTGGTACAGTAAAAGCAAGATGAAGAGTGCTAATTATAATTACACTGATGAAGCTAGTAGTCATCAAAAACTGAAGCATGCAAGAAAGAAAGAATTCATCTAATCACTGCTTTAAGTACAAATTGTCCTTCCATGAAAACAAGTAAACCGCCTACTGTAATCCAGTGCATCACAGATTTGCTGCAAAAAACCTAAGCAGCATGGGATAGAAAGGTGCAAACTTGAGATTGGAAAGCAAAGGTGCAAAGCCAGAGAGCTCTCTCGTTCTCTCTGTTCATGGAGAATCAGGCTGCTGTGCTAACTGCTAAAGAAGTATGTGGGATGCATCTTTTCATGCAGCTCAGGTGTCAGGGCATCAGCCAGCGCTTGGTAAAAGTGCAGTAATTCCAGATGTCTAGCTTTGTACCTGCTGATTTAACAAGCACTTCCAAGAATCCTAGCAAACAACAGATTCATATTTTAAAGGATCTGTTCCTCCTTAGGAATGTATAAGCATTTGTAAAAAGCAAACAGAAGACAAGTGTTTGCATTTAATAAGGGTTCTTTTTAATCAGGTATGTACTTCCTTTACCATGAAACAATACAAATTATTGCCTGTAAGTGCTTACACTATTTCTCAATATCCCTCAGCAAAGGCTGGCATGCTACAGAAGAATGTTTGCATCACATTTTCAGCCTGTGCTAGGCAAAAAATTGTGAGTATATATGGAAACCGTTATATGATTTCTTCTTCACTTTGTCTATATTTTGATACTTCACATACCCATAAAATATTTGGTTAAATAAAACTCACGCACAGCTTTGTGACATAGAAGTTTAAAAGACAAAGGTGTTCATAAGCAAAAGCTTATTCTAAACATCCCTCTAAACAACAGACAATATGTAGAGTGCACT